GGCTTCTAAAACAGGTTAAGATAAATTCAAGTGGGATAAAAAAAACTTTGGGTGTTCCAAAGACCGACAAAACTAGAAGATCGTGGTCCGTTGCCGATGAACAAGCTTTGATTAACGGTTTGAAGGACCTCGTTCTCACACGTTGGAAGTGCGACATTGGATTTAAAACGGGGTTTCTTAGAATTCTACAACATCATACGTTGAGCGCATTTCCGGGTACTCATATTAGAGCGGATCCTCATATATTAAAGCGGATCCTCATATTAACTCCAAGATACACGTTTGGAAGAAAACTTATGGCTCTTTGTCAACTATGATGACCCGTAGTGGCTTTGGATGGTGTGATGCTACTAATACCATCGACGTTGAGAGCGATGATGTTTGGGATACCTATGTAAAGGTAAATTCGAACTATTTTGTGATGTTGTTACATATAATTTAATGAGTTGGACTTTAAGTTTATACAATAGTACATGGGTTTGCAAGTTAGAATTCTCTTTGTTGGGTATCCGCCCAGAGAAGAAACAATATTCAACGGAGCCATAGAAATAATCAATTTATATGTAGCAATGATATTTATTGGAAGTAATTAAAAAAATGAAATATTAATTCCAATAAAAAACACTACAGAAGACAATAGGCGTGGACATCACCAACTTAACAGAAACAAGTTATGAAAGCAGAATGTAAAGCAATCACCTATCACAATATTTTAATCTAAATATTAATGCCCAATTAACATAGATAAAACATGATTTATTTAATGCAGAAAATAAATAAAGGTAAGAAACAAAATCGAGTAATTCACACAGAATTGCGAACGATAAATTCTCCGACGGCTGCTCTTGCGGGGGTTCAACTTCCGGCTCAGCCCTTAATCTCCGAGTCCTCATCCAAGGTTCAAGTGGGGCCTTCTAACACTCACGGCAGCCACACACGCGGAATATTCAAACGAAAAAAACAAAGGAAAAACGAAACCCAAATTCATACCCTAATCTCATCAGTTTATCCCTAAAGAAGTAAGCTCGAATTCACCGAAAAGAATTGAGCTTTTCTTCTAAAAAAATGTTCTCTCTTTCACTCTAATTTTTTCCTCTCAAAATACACAAAGCATTCATTTTTTCCTCGTCTCTTTTTTTCGTCCCACACACAGAAAGGGAATAGGGTGCACTTATACACCCAAATCATCCACCAAACTCACGAAGAATCAGGCAACAAATCACCAAGATTTGTTGAGCATGAGAAGAAAGATTTGTTGAGAGAAAAAATAAGCAGATTGAAAAAATCTGCCGAAAACAACGAGATAGAAAATGGTGAAGAGAGAGAGAAAGGGAAAACCAAAGTGATATTGGGGTGGCTTTAATTTTGGGCTCAAATTGTGTGGTTTGCTCGTAAGTGGGTTGCAAGATGGATTGATGAATGGGCCATTCACAAAGAATATATTTGTGTCACACTCTACAAATCTCCACCTGGCCCGGTGAATGGCCGAGATATAACCTCAACCGATGGTTCACGAGTGGACTCGTCACACCATCTAAAGAAATTACAACGATGTTGCTAAAAATAATTTTCGAACTCAAAAATAATTAAATTATGTCATAACAACAATAATATCGTCTTCGTGGATTTTTTCATGAAAGAACTACTCATAATCAGTAAAATAGTTACCGAAATAATTAGATAACTTAAATTGTAAATTAATTGTCTCTTTCAATGAACAACAATAAAACCGTCTTCCTAAATTTTTTTCCGTTCTCGAGGTTTTAATTGTCGTTTCCAAACCGCAATGACATTGAAAATGTAACCCATAACAATATGGATTAGACTCCCCACTCTCACTAGAACAACAATTTGCCCTATTTCGCACATAGTTCGAATTCGAACTCATACTGAAAAAATGATAAATAAAAAATTCACGAGCATTGTGCGAAGTATACGAATCAAAAGTATAATTGAATGGACGATTGTAGAATAATTTTACTTTACCTTCGGAACTTCAAATTCGTGCAGCTCTGTTGTAGAAGTTGAAGAGACGAAACCCTAGACCAAATTAGAAGAAAGATAGTCGATTTTGACATGTTTGAGTTCATTTTCTGAAATGTTTAATATCGTTTTATTATTAACTTAGGGGTGTTTTCGGATTTTTGATATAAATTTCATCCACAAGAAATAAAATGGTATTTTTAATTGGACCATCAATCACCCATACCAAACAGGGGATTAGCTGGTTAGGAGATATTTTGAGTAGTACAATCTTTGGATTAATTATCAATCCATGTAATCCTATAACTCAAACCAAATGAGACCTTTTAATTTATCTCTCCAAATCAAGAGAGATAACTGATTTATCCTTCCATTAAGGTGGTATTTGTAAAAGCTTTTTGAAAGTGATTATGAGCTTTTTTTTGCTCATAACCTGTTTTCAGGTGTTTGAAAAATCAACATTTGGCTTTGTTTCTTTTAAAATAATATGCTTTAAGCTATTTTTCTAAAAGCACCCTAAACCTGTTTTTTCTATTTAAAAACATTTTCCGGAATAATTGCAAACACCCCCAACTTTTAGAAATAAGCACTTAAAACTGACTAACTCACAATCACTAACTTTTACTTTTAAAAAATCATTTGCAAACACCACCTAAGAAGAAAGTTGCTCAATATATCAATCCGTTCACACACAAAGAATACTTGTCCGTCGGGCACTAAAAGGGCAATTTTCAACTGTTCTCCAGGAACCTGAATTCATTCATTTTTCCATTTGTCATTTCAAATGGGAAAATTTGCCGTAGCTTTGTTGTGGAAGAAATCTATCAAAATATAAATTGCATCGAAAGTTGTTGGTCTTTTTTTTTTACAGGGCTTTGACTTTATTTGATTAGTAATAGTTAAGTGAAAATTGAGGGTATTTTTGTAACTTCGAAGCCTTGACCAAACCGTGTCAATGTCAAAAACCTGAAAAACTAATGTCGAGGATCACATTAGGACGATTTTACAAGTCAGGGGAATAAATTGATGCAACCAAGAGTTGAAGGATGCAAAGTGATTCCAAGACAAAGTACAAGGGGGAAAATGGAATTTGTCCATTAATAAATATAAAAAGGGTAAATTACACCTACACCCCTAAAATATGTTAAAATAATTTTAAGGTTCCTATAGTATCGGTAATTACAATCACATCTGAAACATTGTTAGAAACCCCAACAGAATAATGCATTCGATAAGTTATTCTGTTAGAGTTCTAACGGACTATTAGTTTCAGATAGTGGTAGAAACAACATATAACTAGGGGGTGACATGCCTCCCATGACGTTTCTTAAATTCTTATTGTTTTATATAAGATATATAAATTTTCGTCTATGGTAGCATTAACGACCCGTGGAAAACAAATATAGGCATATTGGTAGACACGGCCACGGGCCGGGTTTGACCCGAACCCGACCCGGAGACCGTCCCGACCTACCCCGCCCCCGCCCCATTGACCATGAACGCGACCAAGTATGGGTCGGTTTTGGGGTCACGATTATTTGGACCCGAGACCCGACGGATCAACCCGAATTTTCTGGGTATTTTTTGTCCAAAAATTGCGTAATGGGGGTTTGAACTCGAGAAACACGGAAGAATGGGCAATTCTTACCAGGGCCAACCAAAATATTTGAATAAATGTAGACAATAAATATATATAATATAAAACGTTGGTGTAAAATGATAAATATGTTAAATAAATCGTTAATTTCCATATTAATTATTATTAAATAATTTTAATTAAATTATTAACAAATGCAATATAAGAAACTTTAAAAAAAATATATAGGTTCAATACTTCAAAACATCTATTGTTAATTACTATATCAATATAATCCCCACTATTGAAACTATAAAGTATTGAATCAATTCAATATATAAACAAACGCGTTGACTTAGTACAAACTCACTTATGTTATTAAAATCGATAGCGTGAAAAATCCGAATGAAAAGTAAAATAAGATGTTTATTTTAAAAAAATAGAATATAACTCATTTCAATTAATTTAAATCGATTAACCTCAATTATTGACAAGAACTTATTAAAATTATTGATTATTTTATTATAAGATAATTATTTAGAAATATATTAATATAAATAAGTCTGTAAAATGATTGTAATAATTGTATAACTAATGTTATATAAATTATTATGTTGGCTATTATTAATATCAAAAATCTCGACTAATAACAAATATATATATATATATATATATATATATATATATATATATATATATATATATATATATATATATATATATATATATATAATTTTGAAAAATATAAAAAATTATGATTTAATTTAAAAGAAAGATTGAATTTTGATTTTTTTTTTTTTGAATTTTGAAATTTTGAAAATTTCTTAATTATTATTTTCACTTATAAATACTCATAATCCAATCTTCACAACTTTCATTTTATTTAGTTTATGTCTCAAGGTCTTAATCGTTTCATTCTTTTCTAAAATTGTTTTGTGTTTAATTTTTTTTTTTTAATTTTGAATTTAAAGTTAATCTCAAGTTTTTTCAAGTTTCAATTTAAGGGTTTTTTTTTCTTTCTTGTAATTATTTGGAGAAAAAGAAATAAAAAAATCGGTTTGGATCTGGACCCAACCCGGATCCGAATGGACCCAGGTGGACCCGCCCCGGACCCGGACCCGCCTCCCAACAGGTCGGTTTCGGGTCCCCTAAAAGTCGGACCCGGACCCGGACCCGACCCGCCCCGTGGCCGTGTGTACATATCGGTCTATAGGACATGAAATCTCGGCTCCGATAATTATTTCAGGAGTGTGACTGTAATTACCAATACCTCATAAACCTTAAAATTATTTTTGCAATACCTAAGGGGTGCAGGTGTAATTTACCCATAAAAAAATTGGGCGGACACGAATTGGGATTGAAGCTAATCATCTCGTTTTCAATTTCTGAAAATAAGAACTCAAAACAAAATAAAACCAAGCACGAATCGGTAGATATAAAGCGCTTTTATTACCCAACTGTTTTCAGTTTCGCCTCAGCCCTCTTTTAAAACCCACTCTCGTGGAACCCGATCAGCCACATACACAAACACCACCCAGGCTCCGCCACCAGCTGCTTCCCCACCGCCGCCGGTCACAGATGGCGCACGCAGTTTCTTCTCTTACGTCATCAACACTTTTCATCCGTACGCTCTCACTCTAACTTCGCCCAATTGTATTTCGATAATTGATACTTATCAGTAATCCATCGTTGTGTCAATTAGGTCGTATTTTCGTTTTGTGTGTGTTTGAATACGACGTCGTATTTTCAGGGCAGCAGTTCCAGAGCCGGAAGTTGTTCCAGCGGCCTTCTCGTGGATGTTGGACAAATTCGCGGCAATTTTCTAGCTCCGCCGCCGCAAGGAGAGGATTTCGTGTGGTTCGTTCGGATTCGACCGGAGGAGGATACGGCGGCGTTTCCGAGATTTCTGAAAGTGAATCTAAGGCTTCCGGTTACGTATGGCCTGATGGCAACAAGGTTATTTACATGAGTATAAAACTGTCGAGTTTGAATTAAATCTATGATTTTTTTTTTTTAGAATTAAATCTGTCATTGTTACTATATTTTGCGTACATTGTCTTCAACACAGAGATCTTAGGCTTTTAGTTTCTACACCTCTATGACTTTAGCTTGGTTGTGACTTTGATCGGATTTTTTTTAGTTGCGACATTAAATTATTACATATAATGTGTTATGCTTACATGTATGAATTCATATATGACATTGTATAGTAGAGTGGTTGTGTTGGTTGGATATGTTTTGCAGCGTATAACCGATGCAAATTAGAGTCTAGACGTTTATTTATTATTCCTTACAAATTCATTTTTCGTTGTTTGGAATTACATTATCATCGTAATGATCATTTATATGATGCTCTGTAACTTTTCACGTTTGTAATTACATTATTCTCATGTTGATGGGTAGTTAGACAAGGCTATTATTTTAAATCAATGGTTTTGCAGTTGACAGTTTGTTGTGAGTAAAAGATGACGTTTAAATTCCTCCCTGAAGCTATCACCTTACCTTCTAATTTACGAGATCAGCCGCTGCCTTTGGAATTTTCTTTTGCTGCTCAACTAAGGAAACTGAAATTTGTACTTTGGTGAATCATTTATTTGTTACAGTGAAGAACTAGTAAGATTTTTGTATAAATTGTATATTTTGACATTTTTGCAATAGTTGGCGTAGGTTCAGTGTGTGTTTCTGTACATATCTCAGGCCACGCATTTTAATGCTCGTGTGCGCATTACTATAAGATCTCATAATTCATCATTTTAAACTCATCAAGTAGTTGTTATTGGATTTGTCTCTCTTGAAACCTGTCAATCGTTGCGAATTAATTGGTTGATGTGTTGCAATTTAAGGTAGGAGTAATATGTATCTTGATCGTTTAGATCCGTTTGAATCGTTTTTCAAAGATAATTATTTTTCTGTTAATGCTTCTGCATAGAGATTGTGAATTAACTGAATTATGATCTTAAATAGAGTATGCTATCTCGAAATAAACACAGTTCATGATTACAGAGGCCAAGGGTGTGCATACTAGGTGGTGGTTTCGGAGGGCTGTACACTGCATTGCGATTGGAATCACTTGATTGGCCTGAGGGAAAGAAACCACAGGTAACTTGTGATTCGAAAGAAATTTCATGTTATGCTCTTAGATTGATCGATCCTTCTGCAAGCTGGTGCTTTGTGTAATATAAACAGGTTTATATTTCTTCTGTGTTTATTTCTGTATAAAACCAAATTTTGTAGAAAATCTCTACCAACTTGATTGTGCATAAGTTCTTTGTGCTCTTCTATATTTTCCACTTTGACGGCTGTTGCGTAATAATTTTTTTTGTTTAATAAAACAGGTGGTTCTTGTTGATCAATGTGAGCGATTCGCCTTCAAGCCATTACTATATGAACTCTTATCAGGAGGTATTTGTTGATTTGATTTTTTATGAAGGAACTCTTTTTTCTATCAACCAAGCCAATTCTACTTCTTTGTGATCCTGTTTTGCATTAACTTGTCCAAATGCAGAAGTAGATGAATGGGAGATAGCTCCTCGTTTCTCAGACTTGCTGTCGAATACTGCTGTGCAGTTCTTCAAAGACAGGGTTCAATCTTTACACCCCTCTGATCATTTAGGAATGGGTGGGGATACAGTGTCTCGTTCTGCTGGAGTCGTGTATCTTGAAAGTGGTCTACTTATCGAATATGACTGGTAAACTTTCATTTGATTCTTGGCAACTGTACCATGTTGTCTCGTGATTGTTACTTGTCATTTAGTGTTAAGACCTTTCTACGCCTTAAGCAATGAACTAAACGCAGATGATCTTTGATTTTATGATATTGTTTTATCGTACTTATCTACACATACTTAGACATATACGTTTCTAATTATTTCAGTTAATTGCAACCTTTTATTTTTTCAACGTATTGCATATATTTTCACAGCAGGGCTGCGTACATAAGAACATAAGGCTTGACCACATTTTATTATTGACGTGATCGATATATGATACGGCTCGAGTTCTTGTACTTCAATGTTTATCTAAATGCTTCTGAATTAAGTTCTCCGTATGCAATTATGCATTAAAATGATGTGTGCTGATATCATACTTATTGATCTGGCCAGCCAGGTTGGTACTTGCGCTTGGAGCTGAAACCAAACTTGATGTTGTGCCAGGTGCAGTCGAATATGCATTGCCATTTTCCACTCTCAGAGATGCTCATGTTAGTATTTGAATTGCCTCCATTAACTTTCATCTTGAATACTTCAGTCTTCGTTTGCAAATTCGCATTATTTGGAAAATCTCATAATGCAATGAATTTCAAATCCCCGAGCTCCCTTTTTGAGCTGCTCTTATGTCGTCGTAAATTTTAATGGTGATTTCAAAATTTAATGCAGAGAGTTAATGAGAAGCTAATACAACTGGAGCGGAAGTCCTTCGGTAACGACTCTCCAATTCGTGTTGCTATTGTGGGATGTGGCTACTCAGGAGTCGAATTGGCTGCCACAATATCGGAAAGACTGAAAGATAGGGGAGTCGTACAGGCCATCAACGTTGACAAATCAATCTTGCCAAACGCTCCACCTGGAAACAGGGAATCTGCACAGAAAGTAAGACGTGCGTTTATTCGGTTTGTGGTTTCATGCAGTTCGATTATTTCCAAGACTAAGAGCCATTTTCTGTCAGGTTCTATCATCCAGGAATGTTCAGCTTCTGCTGGGTTACTTTGTTCGCTGTATAAAGAAAGACGATACGACAGAATCTCATAATAACGAAAGATATATACTGGAGTTGCAGCCTGCAGAGAGGGGGGTAGAAAGCAAAGTTATTGAAGTGGATTTAGTTTTATGGACTGTTGGATCAAAACCTCTACTTGCTGAGCTGGAACAGAGCGATAAACCAATTTACCTTCCTCTTAATGGTAGGGGACAAGCAGAAACAGACGAAACTCTTCGTGTTAAGGGTCACCCTCGTATATTTGCTGTTGGAGACTCTTCTGCTGTGAGGGATGGAAACGGAAATTTGCTTCCTGGCACAGCTCAGGTACTTTGTTTAATCTTATTATTTTATTATTTTCCGACAACTAATAAATATCTTTATGAATAGGTTTTGTTGTGAAACTTTTCCTGTTAGGGACAATTACTTTGATATGTTGTTTTTTCCTCAGGTAGCCTTTCAACAGGCCGATTTTGCGGGCTGGAATCTTTGGGCTGCAATAAATGGCCGACCTCTACTGCCGTTTAGGTTAGTTTCGATTGAATTACAAGACACACATTCATTCGTTTAGATTTAGAGAAACGTATTTAGGAATGCGCGGTTAATTGGATTTTGATTATGAATGTTGGATATGTTTCTGGATTAGAGAAGATAGTTATGGAGTGAAATTTATTCGTGAATCGCTATACGTTCGTGTTTTTTTGGGAGAATAAAATGATATTTAGAAAGTTTAAAAAATCAAATCCTAACGAAAATTTAATCCGAAAATTATATGTATTTTGTATGTCGCATAGTCGAACTAAGACCTCGAATATTACACTGATAAATAAATTTCATCTAATTATTATGTATTGTACTTATGATAGCCAGCTTAACGTTCGGTTTTGTTACCTCAGGTTTCAGAATTTGGGGGAGATGATGAGTCTTGGAAGATACGATGCCGCTATTACACCAAGTTTCATTGATGGCCTAACTTTGGAAGGTCCAATTGGTCACACAGGTATATATATATAGAGAGGGACAATAATTTTTTTTTTTTCATCAATTATTTAATGTTCTTGTCGCATTCTGAATTTCCCGTATGATTATGCATTGCAGCGAGGAAAATAGCGTACTTAATCCGATTACCGACAGATGAGCACAGGTTAAAAGTAGGGATAAGCTGGTTAGCTAAAAGTGCAGTAGAGTCTACTGCTTTACTGCAGGATACCATTACCAAAATGCTTTCTGGACAGTAGAATACAGTATATATACACATATATAATATCATAATTCATTTGTGGACCTTTTTGTCCCTTGCTGATAATTTATTGCTACTTTGGTTTGAGACAATACCATGATATAGATACTGAATTTTTATATTACAATTTCTATGTAATAAATACTTTGGCTAGTGTTTTTTCTTTTCTTACAAAAGCTCAAATCAATTGATCTTACAATACTTTTGAGTGGAGGCAAAATGACATGGCGATATTTAGTGCTGGGCATGGATCGATTTTATCGGCCAACCGACCCACTTTCGATCCACTTTTTTCGGCTGATAATTTTGTTGTCGGCCCTGTAGTACTAATCAACCCATATATACATGGGTCGGTCGGTGGGTTTGGTATACTCAAAAGTCAGTTGGCCGATATTATCGGCGAACGGACTTTTTTAGTAATTTTTTTATTATAACTATTTAATTGTAAAATTAATTAATTTTTAATGTTAAAATATAATATATAAAAACGTTAAAACTCAAAACACAAATTTATAAACCAGTTCGTACTATTTGTAATTCTTATTTTATATTTTTCATTATATATTTGCTTATTGTAGAATTTTATATTTTCCCAAAATTTTGAATATCTTTTGAAAAACTTTTAAAAAATCCTATTATTGTAAAAAGAGAGAAAAAAAAACGATAAATAGATGGCCGATAATAGCAACCACTCATTGTTTGCTCGACAAAGTCGGTTGCCAACCATTATCCGACCCATAATGGTCGAGCTGATAATAGTTTTCAGTTTTCAGCAAAATTGGGTGGACGGGTCTGGTAATTATTGGCCAAATACCTACCCGACCCGACCACCCGAATTTGTTGAATACTGAAAACCATTATCGGCCTGACCATTATGGATCAGATAATGGTTGGCAACCGATTTCGTCGGGTAAATAATGGGTGGTTGGTTGGTATTATCGAACATCTATTTATTGCTTCTTTTTTTTTTTTTTTACAATAATAAGTTGTCATTAGAAGTTTTTTCAAAAGACATTCAAAATTTTGGGAAAACTTATGTTGTAAATCAGATTTATTTACTTTTTTTTGTAAAAACCGAAAATCCGATTTATTTACCTTTTTTGTAAAAATCGAACCACTGTATGAAGTATGAACTATGAACAAAAAAAATTGTGTAGAAAGAGCCGCCGGACGAAAATCAGATCTATTTACATTTTTTTTCCAACGACAATGTGTAAATATCGAACCAATGTATGAACTAGGAACAAAAAAAAATTGTGTAGAAGGCGGATGATAATAAAGAACATAAACTGAAACATTCTAAAAAGAAAACAAATTGCAAAGTAGCTAACCTTTAATGAAACCACAAATATACAAATATTTGGTAGAAACGGGGAGAGATAAAACTAGGGTCGAGAAGTTAAGAGGTCGGATATAAATATGAAGAGAAAACACAAACGTGTTGAAGTGGAAGAGAGAAGTTAGAAATGTTGAGAGTCTTAGCCGAAGTCTTTTGGAATCGGGAATCCATCTTTGTAACTAAATTAGACGTGTTTTCTTTTAATTGGTTGTGCATTAAAGATGTTTATGGCTGAAAATTAAGAGTGATTGGGTTGTAAATAAGAGATGGTAGCCGAGTAGATAAATATATAAAATAATATTTAGGAGATCAAATCGGATAAAAGTCTAAAATAATATTTAGGATATAAAAATTTGATAAAAATGTAAAATGATATCTAGGAGATAAAAAATCTAAAATATTTTTACAAATATGCCATTATGGTTTTTTTAAGTTGCTTAAATGTTTATTTCTTTTATATATAAGATAAGATCTTTTAGAAAATAATTACCAAACACCTTTTAATAGCTTATAAAATATTCTAACATCTTATAAGATGATATTAAGAGCTTATAAGCTTAACCAGCTCTAAATAACTTACAAACTCCTATGTTATTGGTTCCCCTAAAACTAACAGTATGTTGTTATAAATCGTTAGATAAACGATCTTCAAGATTATGCTACTCATAACTCTTTAAGGGTGTAACGGTAAAACGGAGAAATGGCTCGAGGAGGTATTTATAATTATCAGTACCAGTACCACAGGAGTTTGTAATTATTTAGTCTTACCCGTAATTTATTCTTTATTTTACTGTTGTTATTATTATTATTATTATTATTTTTTATAAAAGTAGGAATGATGGGAAAGTTTCTTCCTTTACTTGTTTTTTACAAAAATACCCTTTCAAAGAGGTAAGATTTCTAGAATTTCAAAGAGGTAAGATTTCGATGGTTGAATAAGTAACTCTAATTGATAAATAAATTTTCAGAATTCATGGCATTAATATGAATTTTGCTCTATACAGTGAATAATAATTGCCTCACATCTGTATATGTTTTCGTTCTACAAGAGCTCGTCCGTAAGACGAAAAAAAATAATAATATAATTAAAGAATTCGTCTGTCCAAAATAAATTGATTACAAGATTTTTCTATCGACAAATATAAATTGCTGCCTTTGCTTATACACCACTGTAAAAAAAACGAACAAGTATATAAATATGTTTAAATAACTGCTACCGGTTTTTCGGATTCGATCAGCAAATCTTCGAATGTAGCAAGAGATTTAAGCTGACGGCCAAGAGATGCGATCGTCTTTTGACACTCTGCGAATTTACTAGCAGCCACTGCCAATTCTTTATCCTGCATTTCATTTTTTTGTTACAAGAGAAATAAAATAATAATTATTATTATTATTAAAAAAAATAAAAAATTATTTAACCAACAAACCTGATTGATTCTGAACTCTTCAACCATTGTTGATGATCTCCGAAACCGAGAATCGGATTCCATTCTTGATATGTCGTCTTCCAATATTTCACACTTGGCAACAATTTCCCTCGAAAATTTTCTTTCTTCCTCGATTTCTTTCTCTAAGGTGCAATTTCTCGAGCGCGAGGTTTCTAAATCGAGTTCAATTGCTCGTGTCGAAGATTTCATTCTTGATATTTCGTCTTCCAATACGTCACACTTGGCCACAATTTCCCTCGAAAAAATTCTTTCTTCCTCGATTTCTCTCTCTAAGTTGCAATTTCTCGAGCGCAAGTTTTCTAAATCGAGTTCAATTTCTTGTGTCGAAGATTTCATTCTTGATATTTCCTCTTCCAATACGTCACACTTACCAACAATTTCCCTAGAAAATTTTCTTTCTTCCTCAATTTCTTTCTCTAAGGTACAATTGCTCGAGCGCAAGGCTTCTAACTCGAGTTCCTTTGCTTCAAGTTGTACCTCAACTTCCTCAAGTTGTACCTCAACTCTAATTTTCGCTTCATTTGATTTGGTCAACCGATCTTGAAATTGACCAAGATTCGCCTTTGCATTATCCAAAAGCTTATTCGAATTCTCGAGCTTCACTTTTGTACGCTCGAATTCTTTCTGTACGTCTCTCTTCGCTTCATTAGCCAAAGCCACCTCCGTTTTCAGCTCAGCCAAATCCACCTCCGTTTTCTTTATTTGATCTCTTGATGCCTTCAGTCGAACTCGGCACTCGCTAAGAGCAATCTCCAAACCAACTTTCTCTGCAGTTACCTTCCCTAAATTTTCCTCCAGTTTGTTCGTCAAACTAATCATAGCTTCCATTTCATCTCGGCCAAAATCGACCCTCGTACCGTTATTGCTTCCTCCATTTATATCGGGTAGCGAAGCAAGCCTCTCCATTTCAAGAAAATCGTCCATCAAATCAATCTCAACCGAAGGTACAATAAGACTACTTCTTCCAAGAACTCCACTCATTTTACAGCTGTCGTTATCCGATTGGCTGTCGGCGAAAGATTCCACGTAAACCGACGAAGCAGTAACCGACCCTCTACAAGCCTCTGCTTTTAGCCTTCGACATTCCGATTCAAGCTTGGACACTTTTCTTATGCTGTCGAGATTCTGTTTGCTAGCCGTTTCAGCACTATGAGTGCTCAAATCTCTCTCATTGGTACTTAGTTTTAATTCTTCGGATTTGGAGAGAAGTTTGAGATGAAGAATCGAGTTCTCTCTCTCTGCAGCTTCGATTTTAGCTTCGAGTTCGGATCTCTTCGATTCCCATTCGAGGCTTTTTTTGGCAACGGCTTCGTAAATATTTTCTTCTTGATAATCTCTTGCTTGCCGAAGCTGCCTCAAACACTCCTTGAGGGCCCCGTCAAGATGGATAACACGTTCCTCGAGAAGCGAATTTTTACGAATTAAGGAATCGTTTTGTTGCTTCACTACTAACACTTCATTCTCAGCCTTTTCCCATCCTGTAAGATATTTTACGATCAAGATTCAATTTTTTTCTTTTTGGAATTGGATAAAAGAAGAATATTTACTGTGTGTGTGTGTGTGAGAGAGAGAGAGAGAGAGAGAGAGAGAGAGAGAGAGAGGATACCGGAGACAGCTTCCTCTGCAACTTTAGCATGTTGCTTAACCAAGTCTTCCTTTGCGCGGATATTAAGAAGAGCTTTAGATAGTTTCTCCGAGAGAGCCCTCACACTATCATCAAATTCATCGCCTTGTGTTGCTTTCGATGTAATTTCAGGGGAATTAGCAGATAGTTTCTCTGAGAGAGTCCTCACACTACTGTCAAGTTCGTCACCTCGTGTACCTTTAGATGTAACTTCAGGGGAATGAATATTGTGATTCGACGGAGTCTGCACAACAGCAACGAAAACATTCATTTACCTTATTTATAAGAAGCAAGCATTCGAATAGCCGTATAATCCAATCAATTCTCTTCCTTTTTTTCCTCAATCATAACCAGTTTTAAGGTTTTCGGATGTCGGGTTTGGTTTTCGGGTTTTCGGGGTTTCGGGTTTTTGGGTTTTGGGGTTTTCGGGGTTTCGAGTTTTGGGGTTTCGGGTTTTTGGGTTTTCGGGGTTTTGGGTTTCGGGTTTTCGGGGTTTTGGGGTTTCGGGTTTGCTTGGTCTATTCTTTCCTTCATTAGAGCGGACGGGATGGGGTCGAAAAATAGGAAGATAATTATTATTATTTTTTTTTGTATCGTCTTAAGGCGTCAATTCTGATATCTGAGTTATTCAAGAATTTCCTACTTTCAGACAAGAATTAGCAGAAATTTAGGAACATAGTAAAGTAACTAGACATTTCATAGTTCTTGAGCTTCATGTGGAAGACAAGTTTAATCGACTTTATTATGCACGAGAAAACGTCTTAGTCGTATTCATGCACAATGATAGAATCCAGTGAGCTAAAACGAAAAAAGAGTAATTAGCACAAAGTGTTAATCATTGAGGTGTAGATGCAATAGTGTTAGCTGTAAAGAGTGCTTTTCAGACAAGAATATATAGAAAAAAGAAAGTAAGACAAGTTGTGGTCCAACTACAATTGATATCCACACACACACACACACAGTGTGGTCCATGTCGATTTTCAAGATAATAATCATCAACCGAGCGCAAATTCCTCCACTTAACCTAGATTACACATGTGAACCGATATTTCTTTCTTCAAGCAATTTAAACACAATTAACAAAAACAATAAAAATAAAAAAGTCCGATTATTTAATCATGTTAAGATACGAAATTCCAATCCTCGACAACCTCGTTGGTTAAAAAAATAAAAAATTCAGGATTTTGAAAATAGAAACTGTGGATTCAAGTACTCGTTGTCGATATCAAAATTGCGGATTCAAGTTCTTTAGATGACGTAAAAGAACATTATGATGGTTGGTTTCGATTAAATCAACATATAGTGAATTTCGGAAAAAAAAAAAAAAAAACAGTTACAGATTAATTAATTAAAGACAAGAACTCACAAACCTGGTCATCGGAAAATCTTTCTGAATGTGACGATAATGACCCTGAGCTCTCCGTTTCACCGCTCGGACTTTTTTCCGACGATTTTCGCCGCCATAGCCAACTCCTTCGATCCATCTAACCGCCAAAGAAACAATCTAAATGTACGCTAATAAAACCTCGATTTCAGCTACCAGAATTTCAAAATTTAAAATCCCCCTCCATCTCTATACATCAAACCCCGTTCGATTTTCTTGAACTGCATCCACAAATACATATGATTACAAGATCAGAAACGGTTCCGGAAGAATATTAATAATGCAAGAGAAATGCACTTTCAAAGCTCAACTGTGGAGATAGATATGTGAACAAATCAAACTTTGCTTAGAATCCAATCCTTAACCAACCAACCCCCAAAAAAAAAACGGTTTTTTTTTCGTATAACCCCGAAAAAGCAACATAACAAGAATAGAAATAAAAACCCATCTTGAATTTACAAACAATTCATGCCATAAACTTAAATTAAAAGCACAATATATTTTGTTTTTCAGAACAACTACTGTGATGGGCACCTCTCAATTCCCACCACTATCAAAACACACACACACACAGAACACACACTGTAGGGAAAATGATTTGTGGGGGTGGGGGGGCAACTGTAAAGGAGAGTGCAAAATAAGCGTGACCCACATAAATGACGTCGTTTATCTTCGAAAAATCAGACAACCCACAAGCAGCAAACAGAAATAATGCAAGAAAAAAGCGGCCCCTTGGTATAAAAAAGAGCACCTTTACACACACACACACACACACACACACACACACACACACACACAAA